TTCTCTTTGTGGCAGACACTATAATTAGTATTAAACAAAGTGCAGGAAAGTCTACTTGGAGGAGCTAAGTGGGCAAAGTAAACAGTTATTTAAAAATTTGCATAGATACAAACATAGTGTTGGATAGGAAAGGAACACAGTATTGGGAAAGAAAACTAACAGCAAAGGGAGGAGGGAGTTGAGGAGAAGCCTTCCTTGAGGAAGTGGAATTTGTGCCAAGAACTGAAGATACAAGGGAGAAGACAAAGCAGCAGGAACAGCGTTTGATACTGAAGGGACAGCAAGTGCAAATGCTCTCCAGTGGTACGCTCCGTGCAGCCACCAGAACACCAGTGTGGCTAGAACAGAGTAAGTGTCACCTCCTTTCTGACCCTGGGTTATGAGCCCTCCTCAATTTCCAAAACCCCTCACATGCACCCCTCATCAGAGCACTGACTGATATTAACTCCAGGAACACTGTATGGGGTTCTCCTTGACTAGATTGTGAGTCATGGAGAACAAGGACTATGTCAGTTCATTTCTGAGTAACCAGGCATGCACAGTCCTTGGCATAGAGTAAGATGCTCAGTAAGTACTCACTGAGTAAATGTGTAAGTGAATACTATGCAGATCCCTCCTTCCACAAAACTGTCTGAGCTCCAGTGTGACCAGACCACAAAGTCATTGATACTGCACCGCTACCGTGCAGAGAATGTATTACCCCTTTATTTCTGTATAGCTGATCTATCTCCCTCCCATTCTCAATCCTGCCCTCCATCTATCCATAGATATTGAGAGAAAAGGACTAGTTCATCCCCTTCAAATTGTATCGTAATACGTAATTATCAGCAGCCTCTTCATGTAACATAGTATGCTCCTTTGGGCTTTCAGATTTTTGATCCTTTTCCACTGAGATAGCAACTAGGTAAATGAAGAGGTCTCCTCAATAGGTGATCCAATAGCTCTCCTACACCCCAACCCAATAAAAATTAGAACTTCCATGTTGGAACTGAAGCTGGCTGGAGACAGGCACATATCCAGTCAGGTACTTAGGGTGGTACAGAAAGTATGGAGTGTTTAGTTTCTTATGTTATCAGATTATTAAGTATAACTAAGAGTGACAGACCACATCCCGGTGGTTGGATCAAATGGCTACTGATACATTTTTGCTTGGGCTCATTTTCCTTGTCTGCAAAATATGAATAAGTCTTGTCTGTCCAACTGGGCAATGTTCTTACAAGGTTCAATTTACAAAATCAACGTGAGAACCACGTGTTGGGGAGGGAAGGTGAAAGATCCAGAAAAGAAAGCATAACCACCTCCCCACCCTACCCTAACTGGTTTATCCCCCCAGCATGGTTTATTTCACCACAGATCCTACAGCTATGTACCTATAATACTTACCTTGCAGTACTTTTGGGGGATTGGCTCCCCACAGATGCCCAAATCCATGGATGCTGAAGTCCCTTATATAAAATTTATATAAAATGGCATAGCATCTGTATGTAACCTACCCACTCCCTCCCATATACTTTAAATCATTTCTAGATTACTTATAATACCTAATACAATATAAATAGTTCTTATACTATGTTGTTTAAGGCATGACAAGAAAAAAAACTATACGTATTCAGTATAAATACAAATTTTAAAAATATTTTTACACCTTGTTTTGTGGAATCTGCGGATGAGAAATCATGGATAAGGAGGGCCAGCTGTACTCCCCCAGACTTCTAGAACTTCCATAGTCTTCTGATTCTGCTGCCATTTCCAACTTTGTCCTTCAGTCTTCCTGGTTTTGTTACCTTAAGCAACCTCATTCCTCCTTGCCTCAACTTCCCTACTTTACCTCACCATGGTTAGCAGACTAAATGAACTTGACATGAGACAGGTCAGGGGACAGTTGTTCAACTCATGTCAGTTATTTCCAGGCTGGCAGGCTGCCTCCCCTGGCTCCAGCCTCTGCCTTCCCAGCTGAGCCTGTCCAGGAACCCTGCCTATCTGCATAAGCCCCAAGCAAGTTCCTCTTCAGGAAGGCAGCTCAGAATTCTTCAGGCCACACTGCGTCTCCTTTGCTAAGTACTTCTGCACCAATTCTCAGCAGAACTACACAGTGTAGGGCTTCATTATCCCGTATTTGTTCCATTCGACTTGTTTCCCCAACTAGCTGTGAAACCCTGAGGACTGTGTCCTAGGCCTCTTACTGCAGAGAAGCATGGGAGAGCCGAATCCCCACTCAGTGGCTGAAGGTATTACATATTTTCCCATCTTGGTACTTGCTGGCCCAGTCACTTGGGCTCCTGCAGCAGTTGAAGCCCTCTCATGGATGGAGAAGGTGGTAAGAAAGCTGATTGCCCATAAGTAAATAACTGTTATAATTATGGAAGATTATTCTCAACAGACCAGCAGACGGGAACCAATTTGCATAACAGACATGGTTATTCATGGATATGTTTGTGATTTGTCTCCCAAAGCAGATGAAGACCCTAAAATTAATATATGTATGCAAGCACTGGTAAACCAAATGCTCACTCCTTCACTCTCTGCACACATGTTGCCCTCAGGTCAGATTCTGCATCTCTAGATCTGTTTGTGGGGCCGCAGAGCCCTGGAGAAAGTGAAAGCCTCAGAGTGTAGAACTGGAGGAAGGTCGCAGAAGTGTACAGACTGCTTGATGTTTCCCATCACCCCAAGAGGCCAAGGTTGCCAGTTGCTCATTTTAAGCAGTCTAGTAAGTCCTAGAAGCCTAAGACTGTTAAGACTGTGAGAGGGATGCCCGAATCATTTCCCCCTGCTGGCTGGGGGCGGTGGGTGTGGCTTAGCCAGCAGCTGTCTGCCCTCCCCTTGCTTCCCTTAGTTCTTCCGTGCAGCTCAACGGACCGAAATAGTTTACTTCAGTGTCCTCCCTGCTATCTGGAGTGTTTTCCAAGCCAACATGTGTGCAGCCAGGCCTTGAGGTGCCCCTCCCTTACTCCAGCCACTTCGGATAATACTGTTGTGCTTTTGAGACCAGAGAGGGCACCCTGGAGGGGCTAAGATCAGGAAGTGGGGCTCTGGGCCCCTTATTGCATACCCAATACTCACAGCAAGTCTTCCAGAAGACTCCCTGGTTTCAGCCCTCACCCTCACCGAAACAGGTCTACAAGCTGCTACATAAGTAGCACTTCTCAGGCGCTTCTCAGGTTTTAGTCTAGAAGGGCTCTCTCCTGTATACTATCTCATTGTGGTACAATGCAGGTCCTGTTACAATAAAGACTCACTCTGGTGTTCCTGTGAACCTGCTTGTAAGAGTAGTGCAGGCTCCAAAAGTCCTATATCTTAGGATTTGTATCCTGAGTAGTACAGGCAGAGTGGTCAGTTTCCAAAGGAAGATGAATAAATACATAAAGCTGTTAACACCAGAAAGACCAGCAACCAACAAAGATCACCAACAGAGACACAACACCCGGTAGAGTTGACCTACAGTGTCTAGCACAAACTGGCATTGGATGGGGATGGTTGGCAGTGGCAGTGACCAGCAGCTGGCTGTGTCAACTGTTGGCATCCAGCATTACCTGGTGACATCAGGACTGCTAGCAGAGCTGCACTTTGATTCATGATTTCCATCTGAATCCAGCAGAAAAGTCTTAGGCAGATTAGCAACAACTGCAGCATATCTTGCAGAGGAATAGAAGAAAGGAGAAATGATCAAGAAAAGTTATCTGAGAAGTTTGGCAACACTGGTCTTTGCATACAGCAGAATCGCTGATGGAGCTTTTTGTGAGTTAAGGTTCATCCCAGCACACCTTGGAAATAAGCACTCTAACAGGAAACCGATAATCATCTGTGACCTTAAGGGATGTGACATATCGAGAGAGTGCAGTGTGTTCACATGAAGAAGGTGACCCAGGAAGCTATGTGTCTAAAGTCTTTCCAGGTCGTTCTGATTTAGGGTACTGGTGATGAGACAACGCTTCTAAACCAGGTGCTCAATTATTAAGTTAGGAGCCTCCGTTTTTTTTTTTTTAAGCAAACTCATCTTTGGAAGACCACTTGCTTGATGAATAGGTTTTTGCAGTGAAAGCTCTTAACAAACAATACAGACACCAAGCTACAGAGAAAACATAAATAATCCCTAAAGGAAACTTCCTAAATTTGGGAATTAAAGGGGGAGAATCACACTGAAGATAAAGATCTAGGATTTAAAGATAAGGTTTTATTTCTTCTCAAGATTAGCGCTTAAATGCCTATTACCATTTGTTTACGTATCTCTTTCAATAATCTTTCTAAGGGGATGTGAAATGATTTCAGCTTCAAAATCCCAAACTCTTAAACTCAAAGCATTGGCTCTGCCTAAGTCCCTTACATACTATCTATTGTTTTTGGTTTAAAGGATATTTATGTAACCCCCATGGGCTCCTAGCAAGATTCATCCAGCAGCTCTTAGTTAAATAAATCAACACTCAAGAGGCACTTTAAGGGGCTAGCAGGTTGTGGGAAGCTGTTTGATCAGGCCTAATGGGAAGCCACACTCCTGATAGGGATTAACGGTCTAAAAGGAAATCTTCCCAGGAGGAAATCATGCTATGGGAGTGGCTGGGAGAGAGCCACTGGGAACCAGACACCACAGAAAATGACCTGTCAACCCAGACGGTGTGGCCTGCCACGAAGGAGCCATGTGTTGAAATGAAGAAAGTGATGTCACAACCAGCACCAGCAGATGGCTGAAAGCAACTCAGGCTTTTGCTGAGAAGTCTTGGAGAGCAGGGCTTGCCGCTGCTTGCAGAGGGCTGTCCAGGGGGACAAGGGCAGCGCGCAACTGGCAGCACAAATACTTAATTACTAGAGAGGCCTGTAATGCAGCGGATCGGACTTGTCTCCCGTCTAATGATTTGTTTACTTTTCCAGGTGCCCAGAGGTGGCTCTTCTTAGTTGGGCGATATGAATATCTGGCTACTCTAAATTAGCATCCTCCATCAACGGCAGATAGGATCAAAAGTGTTTTAATAAGAGTGCTAAGATGTTGCTTTCCTTTATCGTAGTGTTGACACTTACGCTGATGATGCAAAAGCGACAGCGGGGGCCACTCGAGCCAGCGGCAGCAGACCCAACAGCTTGCTGGCAGGTCCCTTCCCGCCACATGCTTGCAATAAAGAAGGAGGAAAAAATCAATTTCATTTAAGAATGTCTTCGGTGAAGCAGTAAAAATGATTAATTTTATTAAATCTCAACCCTTGAATACATGTCCTTTCAATATTTTCTGTGAGAAAATTATACTTCACAGAGCAAGCGGTTGAGTAGCTGAGTGCCGCTGGTGAGCTGCCTTCCCATGGACAGCTGTCCTTAGCTGCCCTTGCTGCCCTGGCACGGACTTCCTTCCGGTAGGTACCACAGAGACTCTGCTGCTGCTCGGTGAGCCACAGCAGGCCCTGTCTAATAAAGTCTGGGTCAGCTCTGGGTAGAGGGAAGGGGCTTGTCTTTGGTCAGTTTGTCCCAGCCCTAGGGGTGGTGGATGCCTGTTATGCCTGCTTTTGTATTCTTTAGAGAGAGAGCTAAAGTACCCTCATTATTCCAATGTCCTGTTCTAGTTGAAAAGCCCTTGTATCCAACTTTCCTACTCAACTTCCTGTATGGTGTCTCTCTCCTGATTGAACCCAGAGTAATGTCCACCAATAAGATGCTTTCCTCTGCAAAAAGCCTCCAGACTACCCCTGGCCTGGGTCTAACAGCACCCTCAAATGTTCATTAAGATCCTCTATTAGTCACCTTTTCATTACTGGGACAAATCACTGACACCCACAATTTAAAAGATCGGGTGTTTTTTGCTTTTGCTTTTGGCTCATGGTTTCAAAGACTTCAGTCTGTTTTTGAGTGGCTCCAAGGCACAAACATGGTGGCATAGGGCATGGCAGAGGAAAGCTGCTCACCTCATGGCATCCAGGAAGTAGAACCATGGAGGAGGAGCCATAGAGGAAGGGGCCAGAAACCAGATATAGTCCCCAAGGTCACACTCCCATGACCCACCAGACACAACCGGAAGTGTGCTTCACTAATCTTCTAGGCATCTCTCAAGCCAATCAGAGCCCCTGCCCTGAAGGCCTGCTCTTGAACTGGGTGAGTCTGGGTGGAAATGCCTGGTCTTGTTCACTGAATACTTTGGGGGGTTTTTTGTGCTGAATCTGTGGTACTTGCTTCTTCTCCCAAGATGGATGAGATAAAACTGCTTTCCCAGCTGAGATGGGAGAGAAGATGGGGAGCCAGAGCTGAACAGCAGCTTTGAAACTGACTGTGAAGTTTCTTCTTCCTTCTCTTTTCTTCCTTCCCTTCCTCAGATCTCTCCTGAGAGTGAGCGGCCCAGGGCGGGACAGCTGGGATTGGTAAGGCCGCCTCTATCCTGGCCTGGCCTGGAAACACCGCTTCCCTGTCACACTCTCAACGTCAGCTTTGAGAGAGGAGCGTGCCACCAGGAGGGTGGGGACTGGCATGCACTTGGCTGGAAAAACACCTATCAGGGCCCTCTGAATTCTGACAAAAACCTGAGGAGAGGAGCTGGGATTAAGTTACTCCCTTTAGTAGATCATGGACATTCACTGGGCTTCTTCCCATTTCTACATCTGCCAACATGTCGTCTCCTCTGCCATGCTACCAGAGCAGTATCTCCAGACCATTGCATCCTATTTCCATCATCTGCCGTTACAACCACTCATCACTGTCCTGTGAATCCACTGCCTATGGCTCTGTCATTTTCCCATGCTTTTGCTTCTACCAGGAACACCTGTCTTTAGCCTTCAAATCAACCTCCTCCACGTCCGCCAGGAAATCTTCCAGGACTTTCCAGGCTGATCTAAGGACACTGGATCAGTGTCCTTATTTCTCAAACCTTATTCTGGGCTGGTTTTCTTGTATTTTAACTTGACCAGACTCTCTCCAAAAGGACTGGAACTGGACTGTCATTTCTGCATATCAGGATCTGATGTGCCTTTAAAAAAAAAAAAGAAAATTCTATAAATAATAATAATAAACACAAGACCATCTATCTGACCTGAACTCAGTGTTATTAAGTAAATATCTCCTGTTACTACAACCTAGTTAGGTGCCATTTTTTCCTAAAGAAGGAAACAAGGCCCAGAGAATCTAGGGGACTTGCTTAAGTCACACAGCTGGTCAGTGACAGAGGCTGAGCTGCCTCTCGTGGGTGACATTTGGAGGCCCACAGGACGGGGGCAAAGATGGATCAAGAGCATGAATCGGGCTGGGAAGGTTCCAGACTGCTGGGGCTGCTGGCCTCCCCTCGCTCAGTGCCTTCACCCCAGGGCAGGGAGCACAGGGTCCCTGAGAAACTGCCCGTGGCGTTCGGTCAGCGACATGCTCGATTTTCTGTCTGGGAACTGACTCACTCTGATGAGGGCTGGTGGGGAGGGTCTCAGAGGCCTCCTCAGAGGAACAGCAGACATCTTCAGCCCCCCAAAGACACAACACCCACATCTCAGGAGTCAACTAGGCTGTTTGAAGCCCAGTTCTCCTGCTCCAGCTCCAGCTCCCCAGTTCTGGCCCTAATGTCCAGGGGGAAATCATCTCACTTTCAAGTAGCTTTCAATGGTAGCTTTCAAGTTCACCACCACTGAGCTGTCCTAGTCACCCAATGGTGAGCTCACAGACCTAGGGAAGTGGCTCAGATGACATGGATGATTCGGGCAGAATACGATGAGGACACTGTATTCAGGAGAGGTGGAAGGACCACCTTCCACCATGCATTGTATGATGCTCCTGTGTCAGCCCTTCCTGCTATGTGGTTATGAGCACTGAGCTGAGATTTGAGCAAAGTTCGGGGGTCCAAGCACCCATGTGCTCCATCAGAGTGACATGGGACAGGTATGGCTGGCCTCAGCCAATCTTACTGATCGGTGTGCTGAAAGCCACTGGCGGCTATCTGGATTTCTAGGGGCTTGAATGGGACCATAATGGCATCACCAATGGGTGGCTGATTGAATACCGAGTGTCCCACAGTCTTCTGTATGGTCAGTGCATCGGGAATACTTGGTGCTTCATGTGCCTCATATACATTTACTATAAATCATGAATATTCAGTGTCTACTCAGCTCCTTCATTCTTCCTATCTATGTTCAAACACATGTGCTTCACTTTATCATGTCTCACAAGCTATGCACTTCTATGCACAGTTTTAACTATACTTTTTATTTATTTTTATCCTTTTTATTTTATTTTATTTTATTTCTCTTAGTTACTAGAGAGAACCCAACCTTCTCAAATAGTCCAGTGAAGGCACATGACATCAGGTCTGTCTAAAAGGACAGTAAACCCCACTTACAACTTGGAAAAGTAACAGGAGTACCCTGAGACCCAGGCTACAGTGACTTCCCTAAGGCCACAGGCACACACAAGCAGTGGTGACAGAGGGGGCACAGGGCAAGACCCCTGGCTTCCAGTCAATGTGTTTCCTGTTTCACCAGCCCACCCTGCATCACCTTCACCCCACAAGGGCCCCCAGTCCTTACAACAGAGTGTGAAAAATGCAGACCTCTTTGCCCAGCTCCTGACCTGGGGACAGTATGGATCTAAAGAAACCGTCAATCCTGGAAGCATCGGTCAGCCCCTCAACGCCCCCCCACACACACACACATGCGTGTACCACAGAGAAAAGATTTCCCTCCATGGGCACGTCTGCACAGTGATCTCAAGGGCCCTTCTGGGCCATGCTTGCAAGCCCGACCACATGGTCATTATATTGCCATGGGAATCCACAGGAGGCTCCCTTGTGGCTTGGCCCCATCCACAAGCTAATTTGCCCCAGCACAGGAGGAGTGGCTGCACCCTGAGAATACCATGCTCCTCTGAGCATGAAACCCCGGACCAGGCCTCTCTCGTGATCTTTGATTTCTTCCTCATCAAGAAATCCAAGGACCAAGGAAGGAATGTTCTAGTGAGTCAACCAACCAAGCTGCACCAAGGAAGCCTGTTCAAGAAGAGGATGGTGTTAGCACACAAGTTGGCCTTGCTGCAGAGCCAATGTGTCTGCCAAGCCAAGGAGACAGAAGCTGGCCTGGGGTCTGCCTGAGCACATGGGGCTGCTGCCACCTGTGCAGGGCTCTTGCTGCTGATGAGCAGATGGGTCCTCATAATGGGATGAGGGCCAAAGGGTAGCCTCAACCTGGGTCTGGTCCAGGACCACTGCCTCCAACTACAGCCAGAGTATCTACTCTGTGACTCACAGCATGAAAGCAAAAGGCTCAGGAACTTGACCCAGCTAGTTAATCCTCCTAGGAGAATGAATTCTAGATGTATTAGAGAAAATGCTACTGAAGTACCTAGAATGATCCCCAAGCTATGAAGAAGGTAGTGGCCTCTTCAGCTGGGGCCTGGCATCTGGGATCACAATGACACCCAATCCTGTGTGCGTCAGAGAGGCCCTTTTAGAAAGAAGTTCCTGTTCCTGAGACACACAATACCCAACACCCACCATTTATAGGAGGAGATGTTTATTTTGGCTCATGTTTCAGTCCATGGTCAACCAGCTTCAAAGAAGACACAGCATGGCAGAGGGGCGAGGTGGAGGATAAAGCTGCTTGCCCCTGGCAGCCTGGAAGCAGAAAGGGAAGGGATGAGCCAGGGAGGGAGAAGACTCTTCTAGGCCACACCTACAGCGTAGACATTCTGACCAGGCCCCAGCTCCCAGTAGGTCATTTAGCCATACTCTCATCAGCAGACCAAGCCACCCATGAGTATAGCACTCCCATGATCCAATCAGCACCCGACAGTCTCTTCTAGGAGCACATATGGCTTTGGGGGGCAACTAGATATAAACTGTATCAGATGTAATTTATCTCCTTAAGCAAATCTTATATATATTGATAATTTTCAGTTAGCAACCTGAACAGCAACTGAATTTTAAAATGACAGGATTCACCTGAATTACATGGACTTTAAAAGTCTTCCGTGTATAGCATTCATAAATACTGCCTGTGATCTCAGCACTCACCCAGACCCTGCTACACGAGGGCAAGCCACCTGAATGCTGCTCTGTCCCTTGCAGAGACACATTCAAAATGAGCTCTTAAATGAGAGGTGTGCTGTTTTTCAGAAATAAATGCCAGATACAAAGTATAGTCCATCAACTAAGAACTAAGCAGGAAAAAAAAAAAAGAGGTCAGGGAGGAGAGCAAGTCCCCATGCAGCTGGCCTTTGGGCTGATTCTGGCCGGGGCTGCATTAATCTGGGTTTCCCAGACTGGTCCCAGCTAACACTGTCATCTGCTGTTCCCAGTTGGGAAGGAGCCCTCGTGTGGAGACAGCACACCATCTAGTGTTCGCTCCCATCAGCCTCGGCACACACCCTGCCCAGAGGGAAGTGTCAAATGCCAGAAGTTCTGCTAACATCTATTGCCTCATCTAGATCCCAGGAGCCCTGGAGGCAGCATTGTTGCCCCCAGTTGCTCAATGAGCCTGAGATTTAGAAAGGTTGATTTGACTAAAGGCCCCTAAACCAAGAGCCAGCAGGGATTTACCTCAGCTCACCTATGCCCTGCTATCATTTTAGCTTTGCCAGTGGAAAGGAAAGCCTCGGGCTTCTCACGGCTAAACTGAGAGTTCTTGGGTGACACTCAGCCCCTCAGCGTAGGGCCCCAACCCTGTGGCAGGGCCTGCAGGGGTCAGTCCCTGCCTTCTTGCCTACTCGGCCATTTTCATGCTGCTAATCCTTAGTTCAGCTCCTCTGCTCCACTTGCTGTTTTCCAAGCACCATTCCATTGCCCATTTCAGTGTCTTTTTCTCCACAGGCAGTATCCTCTCTCCGGAGCCGCGCTCTCCCTTTATTTTCCTATCTACTGCCTCATTTCAGAAAATGGCTCAGCACTACCCTTCAGGGAGCCTCCTGGGGCCTCTCAGGTTAAACTAGATACCTGTTCTGTTTCCACAGTGCTCTGTGCACCCCCCATCATATCACCTGTAGGTCATCCGTCACCCAGCAGACAGAGCTGTGTGCCCAGGGCCTAGCGCAGTGCCTGACTGCCGTAAGAACTTAATAAATGTCTTCAAATGGATGGATGGATGTGTAGATGTCTGGACAGATGGACAGACGGATGCATTGAAAGCTCATTGTCTGACTGGCCTCACCATTCCAGGGCCTGGTCTGTGCAGCCCTGTGTTAATCAGATGAGTTCACAGCACCTTCATGACAATGGAAATCCGCAGGGAGCAATTGCATTCCAGCCTGCAGTCTTCCCATTGCCTTCCCATTATGTGTGCTCAGCAGTTTCTGGAACAACTTCTGGTCAGGTCTCACATCTCCCCGAGTTGGTTGGTGCAGAAAACTCCTAGTCGATAACCTGGGGCTCTGATGAATAAATCCGCTGCTTCTGAGCTTAGAGGTAAGCAAAGGGCACAGTTCTCTGTTTGACTCAAGAGGAGCCTTAGTAACAAGACTATGAAGAACCGTGTCTTTTAAAAAAAGAAAATAATAAAAATAAAGAAACAATCGTCATAAAAATACCTTTACAAATTAAAATGTGCTGTGTACATGTACCAATTCCCTACAGTGAATGCCATCATTATGTACCACAAACATACTAATAAAAGTTTAAAAAGTGAAAAATAATACCTTTACTACCTAAGAGAAAAACAGTAGCTCCATGTATTGAGTACCTGCAGTATGATGGCATTACTTAATCTTCACAATGATCCAGTGATGTAGGCATTCTGGGCTCCATTTTATGGATTCATAAACATATCAAGTGTCACACAGACAGAATGTTCCTTCCTAGCCACTCTTTCCTTTCCTTCCTGTTGGGTTTTGTACTTCTTCCTCCTCAGGACACTAGAGAAAGGATGGTAACTTAGGACCTTGGGCCAGAGACCCGAGTGTGTTCTTTCTTGAGCTCCCTGGGAGCTGGACACACAGCCTGCTCCTCCCTAAAGCCAGGCAATGCTGGCCTATTTTTACCTACCCATATCCTGTGATGCTCATTTTCTCCTTTATTCTATTATACATACGTATATTTCATGGAGGAATCATCAGATTGAAAATCCTGGAGGCTAAAATCATTTCTCTAACCCAGCATGGTGGCAGCAGGAAAGCAGTGCTATTTGCAGGCAGCTGCTGACTGCCTTGGTTGGAGCCCACCTGCAATCTAGAAAGTTCTCTATCTAGAAAGTTCTCAATCTCAATCTCAATCTAGAAAGTTCTCTGTGGTGACTGAATTTTTAAACAAAACCTAAAGAAAGAAGAGAAAAGAGTTAAAGAAATGGTAGATCTTTTAGCCCTCTCTTTTACAGTTTTCTTTTATGAGAGTCATTCTTTTCTATACAATTTTGACACCCGAGAACAGAGATTCACCTTGTGTCCTCTATCTCTGTTTGGGTTAGACTTGTGGACAACATGACCTTCTAGATTCTCTGATCTTCCCCGCCTCCACACCAGAAGACCGACATTTTTCCCTTCCTCGGCAGTACACTTTCTACTCGTTCTTGGTTAGAGCAAACTTTTGGCTTTTGGCTTTGTGGAACTGTTGATGTCCATCTCCTGGACCTTCACCCTGATCCCTGTCCAGCCTACTCTGCCCAGATGTCTGTTTGCCCCATGGTCTGGGATAACAGAAGATGGGAAGGGGAGATAGCCCTGCTTCGCGATCTCCAGTGCTCAGCTTTGAGTCAATCAGAGGGAGGATTAGTGGAGCACAGGCCACCTTTGAGTGGCCACAGTGATGCATGGACACAGGGAGTAAATGGAGTGAGAGACATGGGGAGCTGTGCAGACCACCGAGAAGCTGGAATGGGGGCTTTGTTGACTTAATTGACTTGGAAACGGATCCATCTACACCAAACATGACCGGCACATTGTCATCTAAGTGTCACGAATGGGAAAAGGGCATCACTTTCTCACTAATCCAAAAATCTCCAAAACTGTATTCATGGGCCAAACCAGTGGCTATTAAAATAAATATTCACAATGGCGTAATCTAAAGATTAAAGATACTAAGAAATGAATGGACATAGATATCTTTTAAAAACTATAAATATATGATCTTCATTTATAAGATCAGTAAGACCTTAAGTATCTGGCGCTTTATGGCAAGTCATTTTACATTTCATCAGTTGGAATAAGTGAAGATGTTTTTAAAAGTAAAATCCCTTTCTACCTCTTTGAACTAGGCTTTGAAAGTGCTCCATTCCTCAACTACAGTGCCCATCCATCGTGCTGCTCAAGCTCCTCAGTTCTGCTGCCCATGGGCACTCTTATCCTCCCACTCAGGGGCTTTCTTCAGCATGCAGTGGAAATCAGATATCCATGCTTGTTAGAATTGGTAAATTAGTAATAATTGAAAGGGTAAGGAATGGCTCTGAGATGCTAACCTGCAAATTGCATGGATTTTGCAAAATGACCCTCGTTTTGGTTTCTACCTTGCTTCGAGGTTGCTAGGGTTACCACAAACACAATACATCCCAATAGTTCAAAAAATCAGATACACAAGCCATCCACTAATTAACTCTACTATTTAGCATGGATTTATTGTTCTTCTTTGCAGGAGGTACACAGAGAAGTTCTGATCTGAAGTGGATCTGATAGTTCATTGGTCAAATAAACAGACTGATAAAAGAATGAAGGCCTTTGAGAACTCAGGTGTTTAAAATCCACCAGTGCCCTAAATCCAGTCATCTGGCAAAATATTGTTAGCCAAAGACAACAGAGGGCTTGGATGCCAGAGCCAGCATGCCCACCTGATCTTGCCAACTCTTACTGCCTGTGTTCTTAAAATTCCTAGCCCCGTCCCCAAATGATTGAAACTTAGGCTATACCTCTACCAATTTACAGATGCTGATAGAGGCATCTAAGGGTATCCTCACCTAAGTGTTATTTAAGTCGGCCAGGCACGGGGGCACGGAGGCGCTGCAGAGGCCACCCCAGCTCTGCAGTCAGACTGCCTAGGCCGTATCAGGTAACATCTCTGTTCATCACAAGGCTGTGGCCACAGGGAAAGGTAGCTGGACTTAACAAATCCAAGGAAATCTTTGCTTCCTGCCTTCCCTTTTCACATACTGGCCACTGAAAGGAATGGAATCTTCCTCCAGGGAAGAAATCTTCCCATTTGAGGGGGTGGTGGCTGGTATGTGGTCCTGAGGAGCAGAAAGTGCACTGAACATCAGTTGGTCTCTGTAGTGTTGGGACATATGCAGAGTCCTTAGTGACAGCAGACCAACTCTGGCCTTCTCAGGAGTACAGGGTCATCATCAGCCACTGCACATGAAAGGAGAGGAAATGATCAGTTCAGACCCACCTGTCTTGAAACTCGCCCCCCCCCACCAATCCTGGAGAGCCAGGGAGACAGGACATTAATGAATGGTTTAGCCAGAGGGACCACACCACCTGGTAGTAAGTATAAATCAACCTGAAATATAATCAACCTTGACTTCTCACAGTGCCTATGAATGATGACAGCCAAGCCACAGGCTGATTCTGTATTCAATTCTCAATGAGTTTTTCCCCCATGGACTCAATTTGCCATGTTCTTGCCAGCTCTGTGCAGGTATGCAAAGTGACTGGGTAGCAAAAATCCATTAAAGCATATTCATTCGACAGGTTTACATTTATGGGCCAATTGATCTGATAGCTTTATGTGGTTGTGATGAACAGTACCTCTAATTCACAATGAGAGGACCCCTGGAGAAACTAGACTAATACATCAAAATGATGATGCGGATGATGAAGAAGCTATTGAAATTACCAGTGGGGTCAGAGAAAGCTCCAGAGTGAAATTCTGATAAGGTGGCAGCCATTCCCTGCAGACCTTGGGTGGTCCTGCTTATCTCCTCTTTAGTGAGCCTGAGATGGTCAGAGCTGGAGGGGATCTTAGAGACGGACCTTCTAGCCAAACCCACCCACTTCACACATGAGGCAGCTGCAGCCCCAAGCTTTAATGTACTTTTCCTAAAGCCCAGCAGCTAATTACAAGGAGCGCTTCAGCTGCCCAGTCAAGTCCTCCTTCTGTGATGGCAGAGCGCTTTGTTGGATGCTGCTCAGGCTGTGCCCTGTTTCAGCTGCCGGTAGTCATGTCGTCTTGTGCTCTCAACTCAGTCTGCCATGAGAACAGAATTGCTTGGGATCGAGAGATGACGCCTACAGTGTCATGTGTGAAGCAAAGCTGTGCAGAATGGACCCAGAATATTCTAGCCATTGCACTTCCAGCTGAATCTCACCTGTACACCAATTATGGGAGTGACTGAGGGGATACACATGCTAAGGGTCTGTATAAAACCAGTTCATAAAATGGTCATGTGAGATTAAGGAAGAAATCTCAGCTTTCCCTAGGTCCTTTCTAAGCAGCTCAAATAGAGGAAGCGGTGCAGGAATAAAAAAGACCTGGTGATTCAAGTCAAGACTAACTACACAGCACAACATCTAAGGCATAACAGGTGCTCAATAAAGCAGTGCAGTTTGACTGATCAGGGAAGACAATCAGTATCATACATGCATTTTTCTTCTCCTAAGCAGATCACTCCATCCATTCACAAACATTTGTCACACACTTACTGTGCAAAGCATGGCATGAGATTCAGCAAAAGGTCACAAAGACAAGAAAAGACGCAGTACCTATTTATGGGAGAAGGTTACGACTGGTCTTTCGGTGAGGTTTATTTCTGGCCTGTAAGTCATGCCTGATCTGACCCTCATCTTGAGACTCATCCTGAGCTACTTCCTGTCATCTTCTGTACCTACCCAGGACTGGCTCCATCTAGCCTAGACCTTTTCTACCCTCTACTTGTCCTGGCTGGCTCTTTCTTGTCCTCGAGGTTTCAGCTTTAAGGCTCCTCTAAGGCTTTTGTGAAACACTGTCTAGCCTAGCTCCCCTGTCTTGGCACTACAGTCACAGCTGCTCCCAGGTCTTGGTCCATCTCGCTGTCTATTCCCCGCTATTTCTGCTAAGTGACATAAAAGAGGATGAGGCTATTCACCATCTCTTGAAATGGGTTTAGCCATGTGACTTGCTTTGAATGACACGATGAGCTGCAAGACACAATGTACCAGGCCAGAGCCTTGGTGTCTTAGAGGCCCTGCAAGTTTAAGCTCACTTTCTTGCACTTCTGACATTATCCCGACAAGCCTGGTCAGAGTTTCCTCAATTAACAGACCCAGAGAAGACCCCAGCCAACCTACAGATGCATAAGCAAGCCAGCAGACCCGGTGACTCCCAGCCACGCTGCTAAAGGCTAGGTAAGTGTCTGCCGTATGCTGATGAAGTTTTGTGGATTGTCACGTCATTGTTGTGATCAGAACACAAACACTGGGAGCTCTAGCTGGCTGCAGTTACAAACTGCATCATAGGTCATATACTTCCATTCAGTTCTACCAGGCACCAAGGCCAGGGAATATACTGTCAGTCTCTCGTCCCTTCACACATGCCTGGCACAAAGCGGGTGCTTCGTAAATATTTGATAAATGAGTGAGAGCAATGAGTACGGTGCTAAATATCCTACCCAGTAGAGGAAGGGTCCCCAGAACCAGTCTTCTTCACAAAAGCCTGGACTTCAATGACACCTTGACCTAAGATGATGCGAGCTGACTGCTGGGGAGGGAGGAGAAGTCTTACCTCTGGTTTCTGGAGGTATATCCCTTTGCCATCTTGGGTTAAATTTTGGAAGACATCTGTGAAAATACAGCAGAAAGGAACACAGCTAATTTATGTGTGGGTGTTGGAAACATAAACTAGTTCCTTCCATGCATCCCTTCACCTGAACCACATCCATGCTGAAAACGCAAAGGAAACCAGTTTTTACCTACATGTCATGACATGTGGCCACCTTTATTACAAGGGAGCTTCCTCAAACCTTTGCCCCTGGAGCAAGGCAGGGTGGGAATTAGTTTGGGTAGATGCAGTCAAGTTACACAGGTGCATGGCCAGCAATCACCAGAGCTGCCCCAGCCTGTTGTTTCTGAACTGGCAGCTATCTTCTCTGGAGCTTGAACTTGGGTCAGGTTGGCAACCATGGGGTGTGCGGAAGTCCCTCCTCCTCACTCCTTACCCTCCATGTTCTCCACACGCAGCATCAGCTGGACAAAGCTGACAAAGTCAATCCGGAGGCTGGGGCCACCATAGCGCAGGAGCATCAGCTGGCAGACTCTGTCCCTCAGCACGACTCCTGCATTGACACAGGTACCTGCCCTTCCCACGGGGGTCGGCACCCATGTCGCCACCCATCTGAGACCCTCCACTTTAGGGGGACCTGAATCCAGACAGCATCTGGATCTTTTTATGAGGTTTATTTTGAATTATTTAGTAAACTAATTTTATTTTTATGTCCATCCCCAACCCCTGCCAACTTAGACAACTGACATGAGGTTCTTTTATCTAGTGGGTTACTGGCCTCCAAGGCAGGAGCAGAGCATAGTTGTCAAGAGCATCTGCTTTAGAGCTGGCTAGTCCTGGACTTAAACCCCAGGCAAGTTCCTTAACTTTGTTGAGCTTCAATGTCTTCTTCACCAGAGAGGGGATTATAACAGTGTGTTGTTGAAGATTAACAGAGAGCCTGGAAGTGCCAGTCCTCTAAAGGGTCAGCTATGATCACAGCAATCATAATCACCAATGTTTTTGTAACTTGCAGATCCATGTCTTTGGGCCTCTGTGATTAGGGAGTAACACTGCATATTAGAGTCACCTCTGAATGTCACACATCCCCCCTCCTTTCTGCTTGGGGGGTGAGCACTGCCCTTCATGCCCAGAAGCACCACTTCTCCTTGCCTACCTGCCTCCCTCATGGCAGCCTGCAACTGCACCCAGCGGAGGTATCCTGACCCATGACTGTCTTGCTTGTGGAATGCCTCCTGTGAAGAACCAAAACCAAAGTCGAAGGAAGCCAGGCATGCCCAAGTACCACTCCACAGCCCCTGTGTCCCCTGTCACGTCGAAGAGTGACTGTGGGTGGGCTAAGAATTAGGCAGAGGGTCCAGCCTGGGATCCTACCACCTCACGTTTCCTACAGCCTATGAAAAATGTAGAAGTCATCTTCTCGTGGAACCCTAGCAGTCTGAGGGACATTATCCACAGCTGGAGGTGGTTCCAACGTTATGACTCGGGAGACAAGTGGGCAAGTTGTGAGTTATGATGGGAAGAGTAGGAAGAAGCCAGTTTATAAAGAACTTTAGATGCTGAGCATGCTGGGGAGTTTGGACTTCCTCTAAGGTGAAGGGGAGTATAAAACCCTCTCTGTAGGGATGGGGATGTAGCTCAGTGGCACAGTGCCTGCCTGGCAAGTACTAGGTCCTGAGTTCAATACCCAGTACAAAAAAAGTGCCTCTCTATAAGGAAGCAACCTGATCAGACAGTGTTTTAGAAGTTCAGGAGACTACTGAAACAGGCTGAGTTTGGGAACAAGGAAGAGCAAAGGCTTACCACAGGGAGAGGAGAGAAGATGCGGCAAGTGGTTGGGGCTGAAGGGCTGAAGAGGAGAGAAGCATCTTAGGTAGATTTGCAGAATTGCCGTTCCAGTACCATTGACCAATGGAATGTGGCCAAGACTTCTTACCTGATAGGTAAGCCTTCTGGGCCACCATACCACTCCCCTCAGTGCCGAGGAGCAGAGCCACCCACAGTGCTGAGGAGGAGCCTTCCAGGCCACCATACTACCCCCCACCCCCAGCGCTGAGGAGCAGAGCCATCCCCAGTGCTGAAAAGGAGCCTTCCAGGCTGCCATATTACCACCCCCAGCACTGAGGAGGTGAGCCATGCTGGCACCAGCAGCACACATACCCCCACCCCCATTGAAATGAGAAGACACGTAAGCAAGTCTCAAAACCAGACTTCCAGATCACCTAAAGCAAGCCCAAAGGGAAAGGAGATGGAACAATCTGATACTCAGCCACATGGACTCCCTGAACTGGCAACAAAAGAGGATCTGGAAAAAATGAAATCAGAAATAATTTCTCAGATAAAAACACAGATTGTGCCCATAGTGCACATAGACATGCCCATAGACATGATTAATAATCATGATTAATAGAGAGGACACAGATAAAAATATAGAGGAGCTGAGGAGCAAGATGGAATCCCAATATAGGAAACAAATGGAATCCATAAAACAGAGGCAAGCAGATTTCCAGGAGATTAAAAACTCCATTGAAAGTTTATGCAGCAGAATGAAACAATGTGAAGACAGAATTTCAGATATAGAAGATAAGATTGCAAATAATGACCAGGAAAAGAAAAATTTCTTTAAAATAGTAAGGAACCATGAGAAATCAATCCAGCAGCTGTTAGACAATGCAAAGAAGAATAACATAAGACTGATCAGAATCTATGAAGAAACAGGAGAGAGTGCAGATGACATTAAAAAAAAAAAACTGTTCACAGAGCTGATGGAAGAAAATTTCCCAAGCAAGGGAAAAGAACTTGACATACAGACAAGGCATATAGGACTTCAACTAGTCTTGATCAAAAAAAGTCTACACATAGGCATATAATTGTTAAGATTCCAGAAACCCAGCAGAAGAACAAAATTCTACAAGCAGTTAAAGAAACAAATCACATACAAAGGAAAGCCCATCAGAATCACAGCAGACTTCTCAACACAAATCCTCAAGGCAAGAAGAGCTTGTAGTGATGTATTTCAAGCCCTAAAGGAAAACAGCCTCCAACCCAGATTGATGTACCCTGCAAAACTATCTTTCAAAATTGATGGAGAAATAAGATACTTTCATGACAAAGAGCATCTGAGGAACTTCATGAACACCAAACCAGCACTCCAAAAAATTTTAGACAATATCCTAGGAAAAGGCAGCCAGTATCACAACACCAGGAAGCCCAGCAGAATGAATCCATCAGCCACAACAAGAAATTAAATGCAAAGGGGGAGAATCAAAAAAAAAAAAGAAGAAGTCATGACAATGATAAGTCAATACGTATCAGTTATAAACATCCATGTTAATGGTCTCAATTCACCAATCAAAAGAAATCGGCTGGCAGAATGAGTAAGAAGCAAGATCCATCAATATGCTGCATACAAGAAACACACTTAATTCAAAAAGAAACTCAGACTGAAAGTAAAGGGTGGAAAACAATACTCTGTGTGACAGGAACCCCCAAAAAAGCAGGAGCAGCTATCCTCTTTGAAGATCAAGGGTATTTCAAACCAACACTGATTAAGAGAGACAAAGAAGGACACTACATCCTTGTAAAGGAAACAATCCAACAGGAAGATATGACAATCATAAATATATATGCACCAAACACTAGTGCACCCAGCTATATAAAACAAATACTAATGGACATGAAAAATCAAATAAGCGCTAATACAATAGTACTGGGGGACCTCAATACACCTCTGTAACAAATAGATAGATCAACTAGACAAAAAATAAACAACAAAATACTAGAACTCAATCAAACTCCTGAACAAATGAACTTAACAGATATTTACAGAGTGTTCCACCCCACAAAATCAGAATGCACATTCTTTTCAGCTGCACATGGGTCTTTCTCCAAAATAGACCACATACTTGCTCACTGAACATGTTTAAGTAAGTGCAAAGGAATTGAAGTTATCCCCTGTATATTATCAGCCCATAGTGCAATGAAATTGGCGATCAATTGCAAAAGAAACCACAAGAATTTCATAAACACATGGAAACTGCACAACACACTGCTGAATAACCAAAGGGTCACAGAGGAAATTAAAGTAGAAATCAGACAGTTCCTTCAATTAAATGACAATGACAATACAACATATCGGAATCTATGGGACACAATGAAAGCAGTCTTATGAGGGAAATTCATAGCAGTAAATACTCATATTAGGAAAACAGAGCGTGCCCAATTAAACAACCTGATGCTGAACCTCAAGCTTCTAGAAAAAGAAGAGCAGGACAAACCCAAAGCTAATACGAGGGAGGAAATTATAAAGATCAGAGGAGAAATCAATGCAATAGAGACAAAGAGAATGATACAAAAAAATCAATGAAGCCAAGAGTTGATTCTTCAAAAGAATAAATAAAATTGACAAACCCTTAGCCAACCTTCTCAGAAAAAAGAAAGAAAAGGCCCAAATCCATCCAATTAGGAATGAAAAGGATGAAATTACAATGGACCCAGCAGAAATCCAGAGGATCATCAATACTTACTTCCAGAACCTATATGCCAATAAGATGGAAAACACAGAAGTAATGGACAGATTCCTAGATACGTATGAAGTACCGAAGTTGAACGGAGAAGACCTACTAATTCTAAACAACCCAATATCAATCAATGAAATTGAAAATGTAATTAAAAGGTTACCAACTAAGAAAAGCCTGGGTCCTGATGGCTTCACTGCTGAATTCTACAAGACATTTAGAGAGGAACTGCTGCCACTATGGTTTAAACTCTTCAATGAAATTGAAAGAGAAGCAATACTCCTGAATTCATTCCTGGAAGGAAGCATCGCCTTGATCCCCAAAGCACAGAAAGACCCAACCGAAAAAGAGAACTGTAGGCCAATCTCACTAATGAACATAGATGTAAAAATCCTTAATGAGATAATGACAAATTGCAGAAGATCATCAAGAAGATCATATACCCTGACCAAGTGGGATTTATCCCAGGGATGCAGGGATGCTTCAATATATGAAAAGCAGTTAATGTAATACACTATATCAATAGAGCCAAGGACAAAAACCATATGATTATCTCCATAGATGCAGAAAAAGCATTCCACAAAATGCAACATGCATTTGTGATAAAAACCCTACAAAAATTGGAATAGATGGACTCTACCTTGATTTGATAAAAGTCATCTATGAAAAACCAATAGTCAATATCATACTAAATGGTCAAAAACTGAAATCCTTCACACTAAAATCAGGAACAAGACAAGGATGTCCACTATC